TTTATTAATTATATATTTTATTAATAATTTTGTGATTAATAACTATTATATTTTATTAGATTTTCTCTGTCAGATAATTTCTTTAGTTATTAATAATCATGATTAAGATATAATCAAATCACATAAAACGCAAAAGTTTTACATAATTCTTCTCTATTAATAGTTATAAGTTTTATTTACTGTCAATTTGAATTAAAGCAGACAAATTTAATAGAAAGAAAATCATATTCTGAATATTTCAAAGAAAAAATTTTTATGCCATTTTCAATAATATACATTTCAATAATTAATGGTATAAAAAAGTTAAAAAGAGGAAGCTTGGAGGAAGATTTGCAGTATATGTACATTATACAGTATATGTATATTTAATATGTATATATTAATATTATTCATTCTTCTGCAACTGTTAAGAAGCTATTTAAAGTTTATAACATTTTTTCGTTACCTTGAAACTGTAGCCGGTGAGGCTACTCGAAGATCTGATACTTCAAACATTATGGTTTGAGTTGGTAGTAGTTTCATTATTTCCCCCGATGTGAGACAAAGCTTTTTATTATCGTCCAGGACAGTATTCAAATTCTCGATCCATACTGCATCGACTGGTCCATCAAAAATATACCATCGTTTATCGCAATCTGCCGTTGCTATATCCGTTCGTATTAAAGTTGGTAATATTCCATCTGTCCTACAAATCGGACGTGTGCATTCAATATTCTAAATTTCATGTCTATTTTAAATATTTTCTGGTTTTATCGGTATTATATAGAATTGCATTACTATTGCACTAACTAAATGGGTCATATAAATATGTCTTATATGCTAATTCAATTGTAATCCAAAGAAAAAAAAAATAATCCAAAGAATTTATCATAATATATATAAATATATAAATACATAATATATAGAAATATATTTTTTAGCAAATATTTTATTAAATTTAGCACATTAAAAAAATTATTTACAATATATTTATTTACAATAAATAAATATATATTAATTACAATAAAACTAAAAAATAGATCTAATTATATCCTGCAAATTCTACAATCTCGCGAATTTTACGGAAAAGTTTTAATGAAATAATTTTTTGGATTATAAAGCAAACGAAAACCGAAACTTTTATTGACGATTACCGATCAGATTGACCGATTGACGACCAGACTATAATTTCGATAATATTTCTTTTTTTCCTCTTTCCTTTTTATTATTCTCTTTTGTTATATATAAACATAATGGAAAAAGTTTTATTTAAATGAAACTTTTTTCAAAGAAATTAAATAATAGTTAAGTAAAAAATAAAGGAAAATATTTAGAAAGAAACTTTATATAAAATTTATCGATTTCTCATCAATGTGAAACTTGTAATTGTAATGTTTTAATAAAATAAATTTTGTTTTAAATGAAAAATGTTTTAAATCTGTTGTTATATATCTTAAAAATTGTTCAAGTTTAAAAGCTTGCATTTATAATTTAAAAAAATACATAATGCAGAGCATGTATCTAATAATGTATCCAATAATTTTAAATTAAAGTTCTGTAATTTCGAAATTTTACTCTTTAATATAATATCGGGCAATATGTTATTTACCATTCATGTGTATCGAGATCGTACTCGCCATACAGTTGTCTCATTGTTATAGCCTTCGGATTCAATGCATACGTAATAACTGTTGTAAACGGCTTGCCATTTGGTTGCAATTGACCTTTCAAATTTGTACATGTGTGCTTTAAGACTTCGTAACACTGAAAAAATTCAGATATTATTTAATTACTGTTTCTATTAAAATCTGTATTTTTATTTTATATATAAAAGAGCAAAATAAAAAAATTTATATTTTATTTAATGCATTCAAAAAGATTTTATCAACATATTCTTATTTTTTTGTTAATATCAGTCAGTAATATATCAAACTAGAGCTATAAACCGAAAGCATTTATCGCAACAAATGTCTATGCGCATCAATGCTGTATGTAGAATGCTATTCAGAAATAGAAATGCTTAGTGCATAGTAAACTGTAAAATAGTTTGTATTACGTTTGTCATGCCATATTCGAAATTTGGTTTGGTTTGGATTGTGTGCAAAGTTTGTTTTCGAGTTATATCCGTTTCCACATTGCGTTGTTAGTCCTATTATTCAGTAAGTCAAATAACACATAATATTATATTATTCTATTTCTCAAAACTAATCAAATACAGATTGCATAAATATTTTATCATAGCAAATCTTAATTTAAGACAACTTTTGTGGTAATAATAGGTGATATAAAATGGTATTTACTTTTTTATACAAATATTAATTTAACAACTGTTAAAATTTTCATTATATAACATGTAATATAACTTATTAAACAAATGTAGTTTGTAGCGGGTGCAGAAGCTAGCAAACTGTTATTGCTCAACAGCGTAGCACTAAAATTACATTACTAACGAAGCCATCGAAAACTAACGTAGTAAGGGTTGTGATTGCAAAGATGATTAAAATTTAAATAAAAATATACATACGTTAAACAAATATATTAATTCAAATGTTATTTTTTAGAGTCAAATAATATTAAAATAAATAATATAGTTTTATATTTTTCTTAATAATACATTATAATATTTGATTCTTAAAATTTCTATAAAGTCTAACGAAAAAATTATATCCAATAGAATTTAAATACAAGACGTTGCTTTTCTTCGTAGATTCAAAAATCGAAGTTATTATGTTCATTATACGTCGGAAATAAAATTATTATTAATTTTTATATACATATTTTATTTTCGGCTTAGAATTAGTCGATAAAATCGAAATGATATATTTATGTGTCCTTTTTCTTTTTAAAAGAATGTCTGGTAATTAAATCATTAAAGATCTTTTATTTATTATAAATAGTTAACCTAATGTTGTCTCAACAAAATGGATTTAATGCAGTTCGCATTATCGATTATCAAGTTTATGAAAAAGCTGAACATTTACTAATGTTTGCTAATGTAATAACGATAATCAATAATTCATACATAATTAAACATATTCAATATTTGGTAGATATCATGCATTCATATAGAAATTATTGGAAATGTAGAAGAAATTTACTATAGTAAGAGATTTGTCATATGAAAAGAACGATTTTGTTAAAATACTTAAAAAATTAGCTAAATAAGATAGATCTGCAGAAAATAATTTTGTTCGACATTAAAATAATTGTGTAGAATGCTCAAGCTAATCATTAAAATGTCAAAATTCATTCATGCTTGAATACGCTACATAATTATTTTAATAGTCTCACAAAAGTATTTTAGATCTATATTTAGCTAAAATTTAAATACTTCAGTAAAATTGTTAGATTTTTCGTGTAGTTCCATAAAAAATGTAATGATTTAATTCCAGTTTCTATAATGTATCCAATATCTGATTTTGAAAAATCATATCATAAAGAACCGGTATTTTTTGCATTAAAAATTTTTAACATTAAATATTTAAACTTTAAATTGAAATTGCGAAACAAAATTCTGTTAAATTAAAATTGATGTATCATTTATTAAAATATACTTATATTCCAAAAATTCTGTGAAATATTGTTGATTTATAATATAAAAACCTATTGAAGCTTTTACCAAATCTGTTTGATAAAACCTACTCTCATTAAACAAAAAATTTATTATATATATATCAAATAGATTATTTTTAATACTTCTCCTAATATAGAGAGTCAGAAAATTTCACGTAGATGATAATGAGGAATCTTTTACGACTCAAAAAAACTCAATTTATTTCTAATCGAAATTCAAATGAGATGCTTTTCACATGGAACTTATAACAGTATTTTTTTCATACGTCAATATTATATTTTCGCTTATGCGAAGATACTGAAGATTCTTTAAATCACAGTGCCACGATGGTTTCCGATTTTATCTAAAATTAAATACGTATATAGTACGAATCCTTTTTTCTCGTTATTATTTTCTGAAAATCGTGAGACATGTAATAGTGCAAAACCCAACGACGCTGGCGACGTCGATGTCAGCGGCGTCCGTCGAGACGCCGGCAGGATCTCTATAAAGCGCATGCGGCGAAACTTTTTGGCTAGCACAGATGCGTTCATAGAGTGGTCCGCTCCCCCAGTTTACCCGTCGACGTTTCTCAACGCACGACGCGTACATTTTCCTACGTTTTGACAGTTTTAATTAAGTGTAAAAATTGCGAAATAAATTTTTCGCACGCGTGGTGTTTGGTGGATCGTATTTTAAAACTTATACCATTTTTTACTGGAGCGTTGATTCCTCGTTAGAAAATCAAAGGGTTTAATTCCTCAAGGAAATAATCAAAAGATTTCTGGACGTTCCATTTGTGTAAGATAAATTTAAATACAAAAAGTGCAAATTTTAGAATGAATGCTGTTTTTATCGAATTTTTTGAAAATTTAGTTTTTTTTTAAATCAAGACTTTGAATAAATCTGATAGTTTGATTATCGCATCGATAAAACTGACAGTAAATTCTCAGTGATAAATGAAACATACATTTTCAAGCATTTTTTGCGACTTCCCTTCAAGTTGAATGGAAATTACGGATTTATTACATTTTCTAATTACGATTAAAGCTACAAAAAAAATTTGAATATCGGAAATCTTTTGACAAGATTTTAATCGTACAATTTCAGTATCAAGAAAAAGAAATCGGATTTTCAGCTATTAAAGGGATTAAGGATCGATAAAAAGGAACGAGACGACCTTTTGTGGAATTTTAATCAAATCATGAAAAAATATCAGATAAAGTGAAAATTCTTGAATGTATTTGCGATAATGCTATGCAACGTGCTACAACAGGAAGATATATTATATCTTTAATCTTCGTCTGTGAATTTTCTACGTGTGGTGACGAACGAGAAAATGAGAGAAGGCAAAATTAAAATGATAAAAGTGTGTGGAGAAAATTAAATACTAGAAATGATCTTATTCTCTGTGACACATGACTTAAAAGTGCCGCTGGTAATTTTACATCTTCTTTGTTTAAAATTACATATTTTCTATTTAAAGAACAATATACTTCGTGTTGAATGATACATACGTTTGAATTAATAATACAATTTAATTAAACGGTAAGTCAAATGCCTGTAAAAAATCGGATGACATAAATGGTTTTATTCTTTGTAACATACGATTTAAAAGTGCCGTTGGTAATTTTATATCTGTTTAAGTATCTTGTTTAAAATTACATATATTTTCTACCTTATTAATTAACTTAAGTTATAAATATTAATTTAACAATTTGATAATAGCTCGCAATGATGCGAAAAATTCAATAATCCGAAAAATTCAACAAATAAGAAATGTTTATATGAAAATTACTTTAATAGATATTAAGGTTTAAGTATAATTTAAAAGATGTGAGTATAAATCAATACTGCATCTTTTCAATATGATATTTGGAGAAATATTAAACTCTTTTAAATTATAATTGTTGAGCCAAACTATGTACTAGAAATTCGAAATTTATCCAAGGTTGAACGAATAACGAAGTAAACTGTACAATGAAATTACATTCTTGCGAAAACGCTTATCAACTCTATCATATTTCCGCGTTTATCCCGCGATCAAGTAATGTTACAAACTGCGAGAACAGCTTTTAATATGTTAAACGTATCGATTTATAATAAGTCGCATGCGAAATAAATAAAAAGCAATAGTTAATTTAATTAAGAAATCAATTATAGAATGCTATTGAGCGCACTGTTAATGCATTACGTTTTTCTTTTACACCACGTTAATGAAAATGCGAGGAAATGTATTGAATTGCGACCGACGAGGCGTTTTTATTCTTATTAATATGATACATTATGCGGATAAAGGTTTTGTATGAAAGATGAACTGTATTATATGAAATTTTGCGCGTGAATTATTGTCATCCACTTGTATTTAAATCCATTTCGATAATTGCTTTTGATACCATACTCTACTTGTAAATTGTAAGTCAATTCAATTAACTTACATATTATACAATTTAATGTGGAATTAACTTGGATATCGAATTTATGTTAAAACTATATCATCAGAGCACTATCTATTAAGATACAACTCAATAACTTAACATATTATGTTGAGCTTAACTGGCGTGAATATAATGATTTCACGATTTCCTCAAAATTGAATTAGCACACGCTTTGGTGAAGCCAAATGATGAACACAAATTACCTATCGTGAAATCCGAAAAATAGCTAGTAAATTTGCGGTTAAATGAAATTGAATCTAATTGCAGACGGAATGCACGCACGTGAAATTGCATTGTTGAAATGCATGCAGTTGCGAACGTAATTGAATCGAATGTAATCAAACTTAAAGTGTAAACGATTCATTATGTCACCCAAATGGACATTTAGACAGAAAAAATATTTGCTGAACGAAAACAAATGTCCGAACGCAATCCTGGGCTCAATACCGATGGTCCATGTCAGCGACGTTGGAAAACCTCCAACTAGCCGCACATTTGTCCGAAGTGGAATGCGTCCGCGTTGCAATCAGTGTGTCAGATCAAATAACCTTTCAGTCTAATATTGTAGATTTTTTTTAAAGCCAATTAGATAAAGATGTGTAGATTTTGATGTGAATCCAACATCTAATTTTTGATCTAATATTATAGGCTATTATTAATTACTTAAAAAAAATTTAGAAAAGCTTCATTTTTTTGTCATCACTAAATAATTTTTACGCAGCGTCACATTGAACATTTGTGAATTAGAAAGAATCTTTGTCGACTAACATGTT